GTTCAAATTGGTAAAAATGAAAGAGCAAATCCTTTTTATAAATAAAAATATATGACCGTTACGAATATGTCCGTTACAGAATATTACTATTAGAGAATATTACCGTTTGAAAATATGACCGTTGAGAGAATATTATCATTTGAAAATATAACCGTTGAGCTAATATGATTGTTTGAAAATATTTTTTTTATAAATAATTTAATTATATATATTTATTTAATTATATATATTTGTTATAAAAAGATTATTTATTTATTTATTAATGTTTATAATAGTTTTCTTTTAAAAATTAGTTAAGTTAGTTTGATTGGTTAGCTAAAATAAAGAGTATGGTTAGAGTGTACACTAGCTAAACTAGTTAGGCAAAATAAAGAAGGTAGTTTTTTGTGTACTTTGAAGAGGCATTTTAGAGAGCATGGTTGGTGTTGCTCTTATATCCGGAAGGAAATAAGTTAAATTTTTTTTTTTCTGCATCGGTGTAAGACTTTGCCTAACCGCAGAGGGTTGGAACCTTCTTAAAGAGAGTGAATTTCCTGCGCCTCAACCCTTTCAATAGTTATTGTAATTTTTATTATTTGTTTATTCTGGTGTTTTATTTGTAATTATCACCAACACATATTCAAAAAAAAAAAAAAAAAAACAAAAAAACAAAAACAAAGAGATAATAAGAATAAAGGATTGAAACAATTCAGAGGATAGAGTAGAGTCTGATTTCGTTGACCACGAACTGGTGAAGCTAAACGGCGAGACTGATTTCATTGGTGACAGTGACAATGAAGGTCTGGTGGAGCTTTGTCATCTGGTTTATGGATGGAAGGGCATGTTGGTGTTATGGGGATTTGCGTAGTGATTTGGTGGTGATGGGCTCAGTGGTTGCGGTAGAGATATGTCTGGTGGTGGGTTTCGATGGGTCTGGTAGCTGAATACAAAAATTCTGTTACATCTATTTGATCTAAGAGATGAGAGAGGTAGGTTACGATGGATAATCTGAGAAATGAGGGATGAGTTGAGAGCTGCCAGTGGGATATGTTATTATCAGATAAGGATAGATAAAAAAAATTTAAGTGTGAGGGTATTAAAGTAATTTTACATTTTCAGTTAACCAAGCTAAATAACAAAACACTAATAGGGAGTGCAGTGTGATTTCTTAAAAGTGAAAGAGAAATTTGTACTAGCGCTTATTTAGAAGAGTGCTGCTATTAGCACCTGCCAAAATTCTTTAGACCACCCATTTTATAATTTTTTTTATTACAATTATACCCTAAAGTAAAATTACATTAAAAGACATTAGGAAATGGAACACCCACCTATCAATAATAACTAATACTCTATAATATTGGACACCCACCCAGACCCCCACTCCCACCTCCAACTCCAACTATACGTATTCCATGTTTGTAAATCCTAAACCTATTACTTTTCATAACCAATTAACATAAACCCTAAATCTATTATTTTTCATAATCATCTTAAATCCTGAATGTGTCATCTTCATCACCATCATCAACGCTATTGAACTTGAAAGTTTTGCTTCAAGTATAACGTGTACTTCATCACTTATTTCACTGTGTAGAGCAATGGAGGACGAGGACGAGGACAACATTCTCGATTGTTTATATGTATTGTATTAACATTCTTGGTCGTTTTCAATCGTTCTTGTTTCGTTCGAGCTGTTCAGTATTGGTTTGCTGACTGTTACAATTATGTTCGGTAACACAGTACTGAACATAATCCTTTCGTTCAATACATAAGTTTCGAACATTAATGCAGATAGTCAATTATGTAATTTTCTTTGTTAAACTAACTTAGAATGAAAAAGAGTGAATTGGAATGAATTTAAGTTATGTATTTTGAATGGATTTAATTCATGTTATTTTAAGTTGTGAATTAGAATGGATTCAAGTTATACAGTGATGAATAAATTTTGTTCGGACATATAATACTGACAGGATCATTATTGTTCGACAAAACAGTTCTGAACAAAATACATTTTTTCGGCTACACAGTGGTGAACAAATTGGGTGGGTGTGCTTTTCATTGTGAAAAGTGGTAAGAGTCTTATTCATTTGACTTAAGAATACCTTCTGATTGTGTTTTATGTCAACGTTTTTAATCTAAACCTAACACACTTACCATCTCCACTACCACCCACCACCTCCACTACCATCCACTACCACCACTCACCTACCTCACACCTCTCCTATATAATAGCTTGTAATATACAAAATCTAAATACAACAATCTTGTAACAACATCAATCAATAATATCAATCAATACATAATTCATTCTCTCTGTTTTTCTCTCTATCATTTTCTCTTACATGGTATCAGAGCTATAGGTTAGCTCTTGGTGATCTTCACCTTCCGGCGGGCGGCAACCTTACCTTCACCGGCGGGCGCCAGCCTCGCCTTGGCCGCCCGCCGGACCTCTACACACTAACCGTCTCTCATCTCTCTCTCTTTCTCTTACTCAAATTTCTGTCTCTCCTTCAATCTTGCGTCAGCTACGGAGGAGCGTCGAACCTGTCAAGCGTGTATTCATCAAGATCCGTGGGCGATAGTTTCTTGTCGGCAGACTCGTCCTTGCGCGGCTCTTCCCGATACGTCGGCGGCGCAGATCCGCTGGGAGGATGGACACCGCAATCTGCTTTCTCCCCGACGAAGACCTTTGAACTGTATTCGTACCTACTATACCGTGGTGAAGATGAAGCATCTGAGTCTTTTTCTCCTTCTGTGCCGTATAAATTATTTTGTGGTTTTTGACCACCAAAAAAAAAAAAAAAAAAAAAAAAATTTTTTCGCCCAATCAGGGCCCTACACGCACGACCCCCAGCACCCCCACTGGGGGTCGGAGGCATTTTCCTTATATTAAAAGACATTATTAAATGGAACACCCACCTATCAATAAGAACTAATACTCTATAATATTGGACACCCACCTCCACCTCCACCTCCACCTCCAACTATACGTATTCCATGTTTGTAAATCCTAAACCTATTACTTTTCATAACCAATTAACATAAACCCTAAATCTATTATTTTTCATAATCATCTTAAATCCTGAATGTGTCATCTTCATCACCGTCATCAACGCTATTGAACTTGAAAGTTTTGCTTCAAGTATAACATATACTTCATCACTTATTTCACTGTGTAGAGCAATGGAGGACGAGGACGAGGACAACATTCTCGATTGTTTATCTGTATTGTATTAACATTCTCGGTCGTTTTCGATCGTTCTTGTTTCGTTCGAGCTGTTCGGTACTGGTTTGCTGACTGTTACAATTATGTTCGGTAACACAGTACTGAACATAATCCTTTCGTTCAATACATAAGTTCCGAACATTAATGCAAATAGTCAGTTATGTAATTTTCTTTGTTAAACTAACTTAGAATGAAAAAGAGTGAATTGGAATGAATTTAAGTTATGTATTTTGAATGGATTTAATTCATGTTATTTTAAGTTGTGCATTAGAATGGATTCAAGTTATAAAGTGATGAACAAATTTTGTTCGGACATACAATGCTGACAGGATTATTATTGTTCGACAAAACAGTTCTGAACAAAATACATTTTTTCGGCTACACAGTGGTGAACAAATTGGGTGGGTGTACTTTTCATTGTGAAAATATGGAAATTAGTTTTCTATTCTAAAAATATTATGGAAATATTATGGAGATTAGTTTTCCATATATATACATTGTTTTCTATTCCTACAATTCGCATCAATCTTCACTTTCTCATCTGAATTTCCCAATCAATGGCAAATTCCAAAGAGACCCACGTCATCGAAATCCTAATCGACGAAGAATACCAACCTCACAAGTAAATGCATTGTGTTTTCAAGAACCACTTTTTAGACGTGGTTAATGTTGGAGAGAGAAGAGAGAAAAAAAAACTAGGGTTTTGAAGCGATTTTGAGAGAGAGAGAGAGAAAGAAGAGAGAGAAAAATCTTCACTTTCTTATATGAACAAAAGGGATTTTGAGAGAGTGAGAGAAAAGAGAGAGAGAATAGACATCACTTATGAGGAGAGAGAGAAGAGAGGGAATTGGAATGGATTCAGGTCGATGTGCATTTCATTGTGAATATGGGTAGATTTGGTAATAAGTGAGGTCTCCAAAAAAATATTATTAAAATTTAGGATTTAGGGTTGGGGTTCAAAGAAATGGGGGCTCTAAAGAATTTTGGTAGGTGCTAATAGCAGCACTCATTTAGAAAGAATATTTGGGTTAAAATAATAATATAAGATAAAATAAATTATTTTAATTTAATAAGATAAAATATTTTATTTAATTTATAATTATTTTATTTTATTTTTATGAAAGTTTTAAAATTCAAAAAAATTATTCTAAATAAAATTTTTTAGTCTTAAATTAAAATAACTAAAATCATTTAGAAAGAATATTTGGGTTAAAAAAATAATATAAGATAAAATAAATTATTTTAAGGAAAATTTACCCATAAGTCCTAGTTTCTGAAAAGTTGAATCATTTAGTCCTAAAAGTTTTCTTATGCTCCATTTAGTCCCATTTGCACATCAATCTAATGTTTGAAACATTAATCTGATGTTCGAAATCTAATGTTCGAAACATTAATCTGGTGTATAAGTTATTAATTTGAGATTTATTGGTGCATTCCCCTTATTTTAATTTAATAAGATAAAATATTATATTTAATTTATAATTATTTTATTTTATTTTTATGAAAGTTTTAAAATTCAAAAAAATTATTCTAAATAAAATTTTTTAGTCTTAAATTAAAATAACTAAAATATTAAAAAATTAAAAAACTAATCTCATCCAAACGAGCTCTTAAACTCAAATTTTCAATATAAAATAATAAAACATGAATTCACATATAATACATTTATCATTGTTCTTCTAATTTATTAAAATATAAAAATAAATGTTTTAGTGCAATGTTCATCCTATTTCACTGCGAATCATAGCAGTAATCATGGTTTTGTAAGGAAGCTACGCAATATGAATTGGGGAATCGTTGTCGTTATCGCACAAGCTCTGAAGGTAAAATCAAAACAAAAATAGTTGGTTTCGTAAGTGACATCGCGTTCCCTCCTTTTTCTCTCTCTCCCTCTCTCTCTCTCTCTCTCTCTCTCCAAAATCCCGCTCTTTGCTCGACTAACAAAGCAAGGACATAGAATAGAGAGAGAGAGAGGGGGGAGAGAGAGAGCGCCTGTTCCTTTCAGTTCCATCGCCACCAGGCCCACCGCGACCTTCATGGCCGTCACGGCTCTCCCCCGGCGGCGGCACTACCACCATCACGGCCGTCTCCGCCTCCTAATCCCGGCGATCTCCGCCGTGTCTGGCGCTCTTCTCCTTCTATTCGCTCTCATTTCTCTTGTCGCCCCTTCTCCCGCTGACAACGACCATCTCCACCCTCTCCGCCGCCGCGTGGTACTCTAATTCTCCTCTCTCTCTCTCTCTTCTTATACAGTCTTCATATACGTCTTTTTTTCCTTGATAACATTCAATTGTTTTGTGATTTTTCGTTCAGGTCAACAATGTCGTCGACGACATTGGAAATTCGGAATTTCGTGTCCCGGTTAGGTTTTATCTTTTGCGAGTTTCTTTTTCGTTGATTGGATCTGAATTTGCTTAATTTGATTTATTGCTTATTGGACTCCAGACCAGTGGAGGAAAATTGGATCGTGATATTTGGAGATCAAGTCGTTCCAAATTCTACTACGGATGCAGTAACGCAAGCCAAAACTTTACAGGTGCGCAATACTTTATTATATAGATATTTTTTTTCTCTGTTGGCATTATAGTAATTTATTATTCAAAATTTTGTAGGCTTCAATTTATTTGTTGTTTATGTGAAATGTTGTTATGTTTGGTTTGGATTTCAAATTACAGAAGCTGAAGCTATCACGCATCCCAATCGGTACTTGGTAATTGCAACCAGTGGAGGTTTGAACCAACAAAGAACTGGGGTAATTTGCTGGAGATATATCTTTTAAATTTTCTGAAATGGAATTATATTTAATATATATACATATCAAATATTAATTTGTGTTTTAGTTTAGTAGTAAACGGTTTTATCATTGTGTGATTAATCTTTTATTGGCCATGTAAGATGCCTAATGTTTTCTTCGATAGCAGTTGCTGTTCAATGCAGCATGATATTTTTTGTTTTCTTGAATTTATGCAGAACAGGGGCTCTTAAATTTTTCTTGTGAGATTCTTTTTTTGATTGTTTGGCATATAATTTCAAAGCTTCATGTCTTAAATTTAACGGATTTGATATTTTTGACCATGCTCCATATACGCATCTACAATGTATATATATATGCATGTATGTTCACTTCTAAATTCTGCACAAGGTCATCACTCTCTCTGTCTCTCCCCCCACCCTCTCCTTTTTTATAGAAATTTTAGGAAGTAAAGCTAGCAGTAACAGATCAATAAAACTTAAAGGGACATGCATATACTTCCACCTTGACATAGATATTAGAAGATATTGCACTCTGATATTAGATGAGCTGATGAGGACATAAACCTCACACATCATTGCTGAGGTCTCATAGAATGGTTGGCCCAAAGTCTGCTTTGAGCCATGTGCCTCACACATGGTTGCATGTGTCTTGTTGTAGTCTTGCCATTTTAGTTCTCTGTCATTGAATATGCCTATCCTCTTATTTGAGATACCACTGTATAAAATGAAAACTACGGATTTCCAATTTAGAAAACTTTTGTAATGTAAGCTAATCCATGTATCAGATAATCATCTGGTGTTGTTTGAGATGTTACAGATGTAAGGAGTTTCTTATGTGGTGGTTCTTAAGCTTTCAATACTTGAATGCCCTTAAGTTGTTTTTCCCCTATTGTCTTGCTAAGAGAAAAAGTTGACCATGACAACACATTAGTTTAACGTTCAAATTTCATTATTTGTTAGAACTATTATCCAGTCAATGAGGCTGACTGGCTTTTTCTGTATTCATTATCATTGATATTTTCAACTGACCCTAAGTAGTTAGGACCAAAGAAGCACGGACACGGATACGGATACGGATACGGATGCGGACAAGGACATGGATACGGATGTGAAAAAAATGGAGACACGGACATAGCAGGGACATGACAATAAAATATATTTTCATATATTTCTATTTTCTATCTAGATTAATATTACATCCACAAGCAGTCAATATTAACAAAAACTAATTTTAATTCTAATTTTCTTTATACTTACAGTTTATATCTTTTTGTATAGATGGTCTTTTAAGTATTTAAATTTAAGAAAAAAATAATAAACATTCAACATTCATCAAAAGTACTAAATAAAATGGGGGAAAAGACAACTTGGCATGTCCCTAGTGTGTTCTCAAAATGTCCCCGGCGTGTCCCTTGAAAATAAATTACTTAAATAAGGGGACACACCATGTGGAGTGTCCCATATGTGTCCCCGAAGTGTCCTTGTGTCTGACATGGATACGACACTTGTTTGAAGTGTCGGTGCTTCATAGGTGAGGACAAGATTTTGTTCAGTTAGCTGAGTATTATAATGGTTTTTTTAGTCAATGAGATTGGGACCTTGTGCATGGTATAAAGCCATTTTAAATCCATTGTCATTATTGCATTACTACAATTTTTTTTTGAATATATTGTCATTTGTGCCAAACTTACTGTACTCACCTCTTTGCAGATTATAGATGCTGTAGTGGCTGCCCGCATTTTGAATGCTACTCTTGTTGTCCCAAAGTTGGACCAAAAGTCTTTTTGGAAGGATGCGAGGTTAGTCATGGAACTAGTGTATTCTTTTTTGACATTTTTTATTTTATTTTGTTTTATATTAGTTCTAGCTGTCATATATGAAAGAAAAATGAACTGTTCTGTGCATTTTGTCATGGCAATGTACTATGACAAATTTATCCTGTCCTGTGCAGTAACTTTTCAGATATCTTTGATGCTGACTGGTTCATATCACGTCTATCAAAAGATGTCAAAATTATAAAAGAGCTCCCAAGAAGGGCTGGAAAGATTTGGTTTCCATATAGGATGCGTGTTCCAAGGAAATGTAGTCCTAGATGCTATCAGAATCGTGTGTTACCTAACCTTTTGAAAAAGCATGTAAGTTATTAGCACCCAAAACATTTCTTTATTATATATGCAGATATGTAGTATTAGATTCTTCTATTTGATGCCATCTTTGCTTAAATTCTCATTAGTTAGTCTTTGGACATGCTGTATCTTGTCAAGCGTACATGTATGAAGTGGTCACCTAATCCAGCAGCCTAGCCTTAGGACTAGTTGTTACCATATTGTAATATGTGTTTAGGTTACAAATATAGCTTAATTCTAAGTGTGAAAGGTTCCCCGACCTGCCAATCTTTTCCTTTTACTTTGGATGTGAATAATATAAGCTATTTTGGTGACAACCTAAGGCCCTCATGGTGATGAACTCAGATATGTTTGGGAAACTTCGAATAATGCTTCCAGAATTGGTTGTGGTTTTGGGGGGAGGGGAGGTGGCCAAGAGAATATCCAGCTTTAGGATACTAAGCTTTTTTACCTTGTTTAAGCTATTTTACTGCATAAGCTGTAAGCAGAAACTATAATAAATGGTCTGACACAGAATCTCAAAATAAAAAGCCATATGCAGCCCATTTAAGCTGCAGCAAACAACACAGTTGTAGGTCAAGGGTCTGATAAGGTAGTTAGATTCTAATAGTTAGAAGCTAAACAGCACGGACATAGACATGTTGACATGAAAATTTTCAAACAATGTAAGATTTGACACGTGGAGGACACATGCAAAATATTTATTTTCTATCATATATAAATAAACAATTACTATATGCCATGTCTGTGAATATTTAATTTAAAGATAATAACAAAATGCAATGTAACATTAATTTCTAATGTCTAAAGGAGGAAAGTATGTATAAACTTACATTTTTTTTTTCTTCTATTATCAATGGATTCCAAGTTATTTCATTCAAATTTGTAATGTGTTTCATGTGTGTATAAATGATAGATACGTGTTTTCCAAGTGTTTGAGTTGCCTTGAATTGTATGTTGTCCTCTAGATTTGGCCTTGTTTCATTCAAATTTACTAATTACTATTATTCCAAAACTAATACTTAATGGTTTTCATAATTGTGAAGGCTGTTCAACTCAGCAAGTTTGATTACAGACTTTCAAATAAATTGGAAACAGATTTACAAAAGCTTAGATGCAGAGTTAACTATCATGCATTGAAGTTCACTGATCCTATAGCTGAAATGGGTGAAAAATTGGTCCATCGAATTAGGACGAGAAGCAAGCATTATATTGCCCTTCACCTACGGTAATCTGGTTGATCCTCTCTCTTTGTTCTGGTTAAGATCTGGCTGCTTTCTAATATTTATTTCTTGGATAAATAATAAAATTTCATTAAATACGGCAGTAAGGGAATTTGATTTTACGTTCTTTTTTTTCTAATTGCTGATATGGTCTCTAGTTTCTTTTCTTTATGACCTCACATTGCTGCAATTTCTAATGCAGACAAAATAATTGTGTTCTGTGTTTCCTGGTTCGCTCTTATAAAATTAGTGCTTCCTGGCTCTCAATTGGGGCATATTTCTGCTTATGTTGTGTCTTCAAATTTTAACTGAGAAATGGATATGTTACCAACTTGACAAATCAAGAAACTACTTAACTATCAGAACTATCAGATGTATACCATTATGTGGCATATTACTTATGATATATTATAGTTACTATGCTGAGGGTGGAAATGGGAACTCCTGTCCACTGCACTAAATTGTCGAATTCAATGACAATTGTTTTCCTTTTTTACCTATGATGATACAAACCAAAAGGATGAGGAAGTATTTGATCCAAAATGTCTCTTAAACTCCTGTTCACTGCACTGTGTTGTCCAATTCGAAGGCTATCAGTTGTTTTCTCTTTTTAACTACATTTTGAAGTATAAGGATGGGGAAGCATTCTGATCCAACATAATGTTTCTTGTTACAGGTTTGAACCTGATATGCTTGCATTCTCCGGATGCTATTATGGTGGAGGGGACAAGGAAAGGAAAGAATTGGGTGCAATACGAAAAAGGTGGAAAACTCTACATGTAAGCCTCAAAATGTCATATTTGTGTGACTTATATGAGAATATTCAATGTTTGAGAAGCATAATTTTTCATGGAAATGAGCATTGCTTTTTTGCTTCATTTGTATTTTCTTGGAACATTTAAAAATATATATATATACCTATGTATTATTGCATCTTGGAAAATGCAACACTATGCATTACATTGCATGTGTGATAAATGCTATTGAGAAAAATTACATCAAATTTTTTTTTTTATGGGGTAAATTAAACTCCCCTCATCTATGACCCATTCTTAACTTGCACCAATTTACCCAATGGGTACAGTGTACACCCTTTGAAGTGTTGACCCATGACACTTGACACATTTCTGTCACATCTTGGCATATAAATTAACAGAAAAAAGGCATGTGAACATCATGTGCCAATTCATATTATATTTGGACAGTTTTACCCTTTTCTATTGGATGGACAAATTTGCCCTTATCTTTTCCAAGGGACCAGTTGGGTCTCTTTCACCCTCTCCTTGTATGTTCTCTTTCCAACAGACAAGTCCCCTTTCAATCTCCTTCATATGATCCCTACGGTCATGAATCCATTCAATAATCATCTCCTACACCAAGCCCGCGCACAAATCGTGATACCTACATTCATGACTAACAGCTCAATCCCTCCATCAAAGCTCACTACCTAAAGCACCAAAACTAGATTTTGTATCCTCTATTATCCATTTGTACATATAAACAAGTTATATTATACATTATATATGTATTTAAAGTTAGGTATGTATTCAAGAACCCCTACAGCAAGAAATGCCATCAGGCATCATATATACATATACATATATAAAATAAATATAAATGCATATATATGAGAAAAAAAAAATTACTTAAAATAAATGACTTATTGAGCTCTACAAAACTCCCTTGCTTTCAGAAAATCTACAATTACTGTCTTGATATGTTCTCAAAGGACAGTGCCCTTCTCTGTAAAATGGGTTGAGAAAAGTAATTGTAGGGTTATAATTAAAGGGTAAAATGGTGAATTAATAATTTTTGTTAACAGCATCAATAACATTTGTAATTCATATAGTTGAAGGGGTTAAGTGTTGAGTTTTATACATTAAGGGGGCAATTCAAAAATGAGTCATAGTTGAAGGGGGTTATTGTAATTTACCCTATATGATATGATACATGAATTGGCACTAGTTTTTAAACTTTTAATAGCTTTAAATGGTTGGTTAGAAAAAAATTGGTAGCATTAGTCTTAGTCCTCAATGGCCCTGCGCTTATACTATCCCAGTTTTGATATTTAAATGACAAGCTTGTCCTTTCTCTTATAATCGGTGTATTTCCATTGAGCCATGTTTTGAGGAATTTGGAAAATTCTGAATTTGTTGGGAACAATATGTATCAACAAATAAAGAATGATGTTCTGGTTCCACACATGCCTATCTGGACTCTTGAGACCATGCTGATATGGTCTAGACTGTGAGATTTGGTACTTCGTAGTGAGAGATAGTGTAGGAAAATCAGATAGAAGGGTAGTTTTGTCATTTCAGTTACTTGATACGAGAGGCGGAATGTTGAGGGTTTTTTTGGGAGCAGGAATACTTTCACAATATAAAGTTCAGATAATCAACACTACATTACCACAACTACCAAGGGCCACCCAAATGTATAGATTAGGATCAAACCTGAGTCTTGGTTTTCAATCCTGGTGGTGAATCTGGTTTGGATCCTATTGCCATGTTTCAACTCTCCTGTGGTGCATGTATATAACATGTTTGAGACTTCTTTTTGATTTATTTTCAGCATGTCAACCCAGATAAGGGAAGGAGGCAAGGAAGATGCCCACTTACTCCTGAAGAAGTTGGTCTGATGCTGAGAGCACTGGGATACAACAATGACGTTCATATTTATGTGGCATCTGGGGAAGTATATGGAGGGGAAGAGACATTAGCCCCCCTAAAAGCGCTCTTCCCAAATTTTCATTCGAAAGACACCCTAGCCAGCAAACAAGAATTGGACGCAATTTCTTCATTTTCTGCTCGCATGGCCGCACTAGATTTTATTGTGTGTGATGAAAGTGATGTATTTGTCACCAACAACAATGGTAATATGGCAAAAATGTTGGCGGGACGAAGGTGTGCTTGCTTTATGTTTCTATTTCTTTCTTTTTTTTTATATTATTATTCTTTTTTTTCTTTCTATTTTTATTGTGGGTGTTGGGGAGTGTTGACCAACTTCTTTTCCTCTTTCGTGATTTCAGGAGATATTATGGACACAAGCCTACCATTCGTCCAAATGCTAAAAACCTGTTTCGCTTGTTCCCAAACCGAGGTAACATGACGTGGGAAGTATTTGCATCTAATGTTCGTACTTACCAGAGAGGCTTCATGGGAGAGCCAATGGAGGTGAAGCCAGGGAGGGGTGAGTTTCATGAGAACCCACATTCTTGCATCTGTGAAGATTCAGAGGCCAAGAAGAAGTTGGAGTCGGGTCCTAGAAAGTTTGGTAAAGTGAATGGTGTAACAAGAAAGGATGTTTGGGAAGTAGGTGATGATCAAAATGATGATGGCAATGACAATGAGGAGCAGGGTGGTCTAACCCAGATGATGAAGAGGATCAAAATGGTCTTCTACTAGGTAAAGGTTTGTTCAATAGTACAAGTTTGGATTATGGTGCTTTCACATCTGAGGAGCCTGAGTTGGAAGAGTTGCTTTCAGATTGAGGATTCACATTGGCCTTTGTCGGGCCTATTTCTGTTGTACCTAACCAATGCATTCTGAAAATTCTTTGCCTCTTGCGTTCCCTTTGACTGCTTGCAGTAAGTTCTCTTTGTCTGTGACAAAGCCACGACAATACAGTAATCCAATATATCTCTTTTGAGATCATGAACCTTCAGAATCTTTTGTGATGAAAGTACGAGGACAGATGCAAGTAGTTTTTAGTAGTGGAATCAGAGCAGAAGTTGTTTTTGGATATTATCTACAGACCGTGGATATCAACTGATATATTCGTGAAATAGTAGTGTCCCATGAAGTGAGAAAATTATAAAAGGGAAATTACACGAGGCCAACTCACCTAGGTTCTGCCTGATCATTGTAATAGATAGATTCTAAGTCTTTGTTGGATGATGTAAATATATATTTATATATATGTGTATATTTTTAAAAATAATACCCAGAGTGGCTTTTAGATCTTAGAATTCAGATGTTTCTACTGGTTTACCACAACCCTCCTAGTGTAGTGACTAGGTAAAGGTAGTTAGAGCATCCGCTTCAGCCTCAGCAAATTGAGTCAAATTATAATCAAAAGGCAGTTAGAGCATCCACATCAGCCTCAGCAAATTTTGAGTAAAATTATAACTAAAAATCTACTTTTATATTTTAGTCAGTCTCTTTTTTATGTACACACTCTATCAAATTCTCTATTTTAAAATTCTATTTCATTAAAATATTATTTTTTATTTTTTCATTTAAATTGAAAAAGATAAAAGCTAATCTCCAGAACTCCATCTCCTACACTAAGACCCTCATTGAGAGCCTAGTTATGGGGGTTAGTGAAGGAAGCTTGGTTGATGACGAGTTTGAGCACATTCAAGACGATGAATTTGGTGATTTGGAGGATCGATAGGTTGATTTGGACGGTACTGAAAAAAATACAAGCATAGAGATCGGGATTTAGAGTGAGATCGTGACGGTTTGGGATTGCGAATTTGGGAAGTCTGGTTTTTATTTTTGAATTGCTCAATGCTCTGTTTCTTTGCCTCCATGCTCTCTCTCTCTCTCTGAGTGAGTCAAGTGTAGTTGCAAATAACAAGCAAATAGCAGCAAACACAATCACATAGGGAGGTTGACCGGCCGGTCGACCGGTTAGGCCAATTTTAGGCATTTTCCTTCTTTGTTACAGGGCATTCACGGGACATTCAGGAGGACATCTAGGGGGACATTCGGGTGGACGACCGTTCATGGCTTTTTGCCCAGCTTTGCTCTAGAAGATAATAAAAAATAGATTATCGTATGAATAATATCTCAACAAATCAGTTGAGACACTGTAGCATTTACAAAATGAATGAAGGCTATAAAGAGACTAATGGAGTTGATATTTACAGCTTTTGCTCTCTACAATACCTTCAAAGCCATTGTAGAGCCATTGCAGAGAGGCTGATGCAAATGCTTTTATACATTTTACCTATCTATTTCTATCTCAAGCAATAACCAAGTTTAAAGAAAAAATAAAAAATAAAAAAATTCTATGTTAGAATTGGTAAAGAGATTATTTTTTATGATGCAAACTTTTGAACGTTCATAAATTTACTATTTTCTAAAATTCAAAATTTTGTTGAATTATCGTGCCATGAAATACGAAATCTTCTAAGTGATAAAAATATGCGCTCATTTTAAATTTGGTGCATGCTCGCTAGAGGAAGGTTACAAATTGGTTAAAAAGAATTTATGAATTTGTTATATTTATTAGAAATATTTAATTCATAATCAATTAAGGACAAAGCAAGAGGCAAAAGAAAAGTAGATCCTCTCTTATCTCTTCGGACTTCAAACATTTTCAAATCTGGCTTCCCTTTTCTATAAAAACCAACCATTCCCTCTGCAAAAGGCACGCTTTCAGAATTTTAAGAATTTGTATATTGTAATTGATGAGTTTGTAAGTGTTAGTGTGAGTACAATTATAAGAGTGAAAGTGAGTGTACCTAGTGTGAATAGTATCTTGGATGCTTTGCCCAATCTCTTCCAAGAGTGTAATCATTTGTAAGTTTTCTTTATCTTGTATTCTTATTTTTGGTTTTAATATAATTTGTTTAGTATGTTTTTAATTTTTGAATTACGTATTGAGATTAATGATAATCATCAATATATTTTTGATTTACAAGAAGAATGGATAAAGTTAATGGGTATAGTTTTTGTAGAATATATTAATCAAACTTGATAATTAATTGACAATGGATAGAATAATCTCTGCATTTGTTGGCTTTTTTGACTTTCGAAGGTTACTTTCGTAATTATGAGCGTGCCAGCAAGGATCAATCAGTCCTTACAGAATTGCCAAACAATTATTCAGACGATTGTGTTATGGTTCTTTCGGCCTCAATAAAGAGGACTTTTACTGGTGGCTTACTGGTAATTAAACTTCAGAAAATCTGAACATAAGAACAGTTAACTAAACTGGAGTATTTCATTAGTATAAAAAGAACTTACAATGATCTCAGTTCCGTAGAGAATTACAGCGGCAATATACTTGACAATTACTCCTACAAATGAAGTGCAGTGTAGAAACTAAAAATACAGGAATATAAAGGACAGGAAATGGAATATGTAAAGTGATTCTTTTAGATTTTTCCCCCCTACTCTCTGAAGTCCTTCCTGCTATTTATACTCTCCGAAGATAACCATCGAATTGTACTTCAAACCGTCAAACTGCTCCTCCGTAGTTGCTGATCATGCTATCTTATAAGTAGTTCCACTACGCCTTCACTTGCAGTTAGGCTTCCCCCTTATATTCAAATTTGAATATGAGCAACCGTTGAAGCCACGTCACCATGTGTCTCTTTATTGATCCGCTACTACTTAGATCTTATAACAACCAATAGTGACTGCCACGTGTATGGTCAGGATCAAAGACCTACCTGGTCTCCCCATATTACCCTCACTTCGCCACGCGTCAGATTGTCACTGGCTTAGTACAAAATGTGTAGCCAACAACTATGTAAGCAAAACCGTGGCTGATGCAGAAACAAGGTATTTACCCCTAGAGAAGTTAGCACTGTCTTTAGTAATGGCTTCAAAGAAATTGAACCATTACTTTCAAGCCCACAAGATTGTGGTGCTAACTGAACACCCCTTGAAGTCCTTGCTTATTCATCTCACATCAGGTTTCAAAGTTTGTTTATTGCATACAAAGACAAATTATTAAAAGTCAGATTAATTAGGGACACAAAGTTTAGTTTGATTCGAAAAAATTAATCATTAATATTTTAAAACTGTTTCAATATCATACATATAATGTCACTATAATAAAATCAATATGTTTTGAGTTTCTTAATAGGCATGACCTTGTGCTTTTACTATGCACGTTAAGGTCATGTTTGATTCACAATATTAATAGTGAAGTATTAATAGTCCTAGTAAATTAGTGTGGTATTCATTATCCAATTGGATTAATATCCATTGGATTAATAATCCTACCCCTACCTTATTACTAATAATCCTACAAATTTGTTGGATTAATTATCCATTGGATTAATAATTCTAAACAAAAATGTTAAAACAAATATAGGATAATTGGGCCCACGGATTAATAATCCTAATCCCACACTCTAATCCACCCAATCAAACATGCCCTAAGGGTTCAAGTAATGGTACCCTTTCTTGTGTCAATAAAATCATTGTGAAGAACATATACATAATAAACGATAATACTTAATTAGATCTATTTGTGAAACAAAGTATGAGTAATTAGTCAACTGGGTGTTGTGTTTATTTGAAGAAGAGTGAAAAATTGAAAAAAAGAAGAAGAAGCATATACATAATTTTTGAAGAAAAAAATTGAAAATACTTTCCAAACCTTGGGTTGAAATATAATTATTTTTTAAAATTAGGGGGAGACACAGGCCCTCCTAAGCTTATAGTGGCTTCAATTGCAATTGAATTTTTTTTTTAATTGATATAATATTTTCTGTAAAGAAATAAAGAATCTACTTATGACATAGATTATTCAATTTAATTGTCTGATTCCAAGATGAGCAATATATATTTTTTTTCAATAAACCTTTATTTTATAAACTTTGAATGGGTGTTTAGATTGGTTCCAAACAGGGCTTAAATTTAGTTTTTTTTTTTAAAAAAAAGGGCTTAAATAGGAGTGGAATAATAAATATTTTTATAAGAAGAAAAAACTGAATTCTAAAGAGAGAAAATTGAATTAAAGACACAATAAGACATATTCTATTTAAATATTATATGAGAAATAAAGGTCAGAGCGTCGCTTTGGCCGAGTGGTTAAGGCGTGTGCCTGCTAAGTACATGGGGTTTCCCCGCGAGAGTTCGAATCTCTCAGGCGACGTTCCAAACCTTTAATTTTTTATTTGTAAATAATTTTTTTTTTTAATTTTAATATTTGAAAACAAATAGATACAAAAATAAAGAAACATATTTTGTAAATTGCATGAGGTAGTGGTTAATAGTTGAACAAGGATGGTTGGTTGGTTGGTGGTGGTGGGTAAGGGTGTGTATGGTGCGGTTCTGAGATAGTAAAAGTAAAATTATAAATCAAATGGTGGATTGACAAATAACTAAATCGCGGTTTGAGTGTTTCGGGTAGATTGATGGATTAAAAAATATTCTTAACCAATTATCATGCATTTACATAATATATAATACTAATTTATATAATATTTTTCATATATATAACTATTGATTTGTAACAAATTTTAAATATTAAATTCCTTACTCATTTTTATTTTGATATTTCATTAGAGATTAAAAAAATATATATGTATTAATAATAGCAAAGCAGAACAATTTCGAAAACGAATTATAAATTTTAAAATTTAATCAACGATTAGTACATAGAACAATGCAGATCGACGTGATTTTAATAGATTAGGCAATATTTTATATAGTCTTAGTAGGTGTTTGACATGCACTAAAAAAAAATATATTTTTTTACATACATACATTTATTTAAATCACATCAATCAATATCTATCAACATCTCCTCTCTATTTTTTTATTTTTTACTTTTCCTACTATTCTACATATTTTTTTTAAAAATAAAATAAAAAAATATACTTATTTAGAATATATGCGATTATTGTTAGTGGAGGTAGCAACCGATTGGTCACGTGGAGATTGCTGGTTAGGAATGGCAACCGGCCGGGGCGGGGCTGGGGATCACCCTCCCTGTCCCTGATCCCCAATGGCGAAAATTTTCCCGTCCCCGGCCCCAATCTCCGATGGGAAACCTATGACCGTCCTCATCCCCGCCCCCAACGGGAATCGGGTTTCCCCGGCCCCGAAACTTCCCCGATCCAAATCTGTTTCAACATTTAATATCATCAACAACAACTTTCAACATCATCATCAAAAAATCATACACAAAGAGAGAGACACACACACACATACATACATACTTACATGTATACATTCACACACAGAGAGACACACACATACATTATACATACACACAGAGACACACATACATACATGTATACACACACATACACACAGAAGACGACGAAGGAGCTTGGTGGAGATCGGCTGATCGGCGACGACGACGGAGGAGATCAACACAGATCTCACAGATTTGCGATCTCTGTGTGACAGCGACGACGGTGACTCGACGGACAGGAAGAGAGAGCGTAGCGACGGAAATGGAAGGGACGGCGGAGTCGATAGAGGTGAAGCGACGGTGCGAGGTGGACAGGGACTCCAGCGTCGCGGACAGTGACGACTGCGTTGCGGAGACGGAGATGAGAGGTGCGAGAGTGAGAGAGAGTAGAAGGAAGAGAGAGAGTGAGAGACAGAACAGAACATATTTTTTAAGTGGGAGAAATGTACATAACCTTAAAACCCCAAGGGTATATATAATAAGTATACTTCAGGGGGCTAACGAGGACGGGTTCGGGGACGGGGACTGGCCGAGGCCGGGGGTGAAAAACATATCACCGTCCCCGACCCGAAAATCATCGAGGATTTATTTTTAAGTACCATTCCCGACCTGTTGGGGATAATTTTTGGGGAAAAACCGCTCAAATCGGGGTCGGGGAGTCGGGTCCCCGTCGGTCCGGGTTTAAATTGCCATCCCTAGTAAGCATGTCCAGCATTTCTAGTTCATTTTATAAACTGTTAAGTCTGACACTTAAATGCATACCTACAGCCAACAGACGTGCTAACTCCGTTTACAGTCCTTTTGGATGGATAGTTTTGGTGAGAAAAGAAAACTCTATCAGTGGTTTGGATGTTTACGTAGATGAGAAATGGTGAGAAAGAGAACTCTCTTATTATGGCTATTTCATTTGTCACCAAAAGTAGTGAGATTTGGTAAGAAACAAGTTGATTGGTTAAAATATTTATAATACTGAGATTACACCTTAAAATACAAAGGAAGAAAAAGAAATCTCATTTATATCCCTCTCTCACATGTCTTATTTTCTTATCCATCCAAACATAATAGTGAGAAAACACAATCATTTCTTTTATTTTCTCACCTGGATGAGAGACCACAATGATTTATTTATTTTTCTCACCCCGTGATCCAAACGGAGTTTTATTGATTGGCAATTTTGTAATAAGAAATTTTTTTATTTTTTTTTGTTCATGGATTAACTGAATGATGAATTGTATTTTGTGGTAGAAAATTTGTGCCGTTTTTTGAACCACTTCATGTACTCTATATACTTGACAGCACACTATGGTGGCCATCTGGAAGGCATGACAAGTTGATCAGCATAGATGAGCAGAATCTCTATTTGTGGAGCTTGGATTCTTCAAAAAAGACAGTACAGGTGTGTCCCATGAAGGAGTGTTTGGAGGAACCATATGTCAGTTAGATCTGATAATGTTACAGGATAGGGAGCAATGAGTTGCCCAGCTTTGGGTTGTTAAGTTTCATTTTTCTTCGATGGCACATGTTGCAGATTATCTCTTTGGTTTATATAATTGTGCAATATTTGGGTGGCCACCTAAGAATTTTAATTTTTCTACTGATTTCTTGATGGCAATAGCTGGCAATTACAGAATTCATTTTCTCTTATATATCTTCACTAAATTCATGTCTAAAGATTGCTTGGTTTTTCTATGATCACGTGACGTTATGTGTAGAAGTTTGCACGAATCTAAACAAATTCAAAAGAAACTTAAAACAAATTAAGGAATATATTGTTCAGAAATTTTTATCCATAACTGGACAAGCTGGAAGACCTGAGGAGTGTATGAGTGCCCTTAGGAGTACAATGCTTCATGCTTTCAACAAGGCAATGTATATATTTAGAAATTCATAGTACGATTTTATTTAAGAAAATTATTACAGAAATTTGTAATTAATTGCAAAGATAATAAGCTAGGGATACAGTAAGAATTATTTATTATAGTTTGAGAAAATAGGGTATTTTTGGTCGATCTTTAAAATTTGAAACTGTTCAGATTAGCTATTAACAAAAAGAGATTTCCCATTATCTTTAAAAAATTCAAAACTATGATAATAGTAAGAGTGGTTTCATTAAAGGATTTGCCTTATAAAGAAAGTGAGTTTAGCTCTTTTCAACTCACATCTCATACTATTCACTATTTGCCCGAGCCCCCTGGTATTTATAGCTTTCTGGAAATTTGGAGATGTTTCCTTGTGGGGACAATTGCATTTGAAAACATTTACTTGACCTAAACGCATTACTTTTCAGCTCATATGAACTGTAGTTATTGAATCAACTGTTTTAATGTCTTATCATATTTTTGTACTTCCTTGTTTTAGAACTAAAAATTCAATCATCTTTTCTTGTAAGTTCATCTTGGCATGTTGAAGGTGCCATTTGATCTATAGCAGTTGCTACGAGATCCTATTGTCAAAGTGATATTGATGTTACTTTTAAATTCTTGGACTGATTCTTAATCAGGATTTGTGGTGAAATCCAGGTACAATCACAGGAGTCAACAGGAATGCTTCATTACTTATCTGGTGGAGCATGGGATCCACATGATGTGAATTCCGTTGCATCAACATGTGAATCATCGATACAATTTTGGGATCTACGGACAATGAAGTAATTTTTTTTTTACCCTTTTAAAAATAGTTTATAGATGACATGAGTTTGCATAATCTTTGTGAGCCTCTAAAAAAAGGTTAAGATGGTGCTCTCAGCTTCTTTAACAAGCTGATTTAGCTTTTGCATGTGTGACAAATGACAATGTAGCGTAGCACACACTGGGAAATTTATGAATTAATAAACTTTGATATAATTGTTTGGACGATAATGATTGAGAGAAATCAGACAATGCAAAACCTTTTAAAATATTGATATATATTGCATTTTCACCTGTCTCTTGTCCTTTTAACTCTCATTACTCATCAATTTTTATCCCTTGTATGCTATATCATCTCTTTATCATTATTTCCCCCTCCTAAGGGTGGCAAATTACTCTGGTGCCTATTTATGGAAAGTTAGAGAATTAAATTATACTTAATGCTATTTTAAACGTGACACCCACTTAGCAGTGTGCAAGTGTGTGCCTACATTTTTTTGCTTTTTAGTTGGGTCTTGTCTGTGGTCTTTAATCATCTGCACAAAAACCAAGATTGAAATGTACCTATATTTTTTTTCTTCTCCCCACCGCCATTCACACCCCCTCCCTCTTTAGCCTTTATTTGTTCAGAGAGCTACTTTAATGGGTGTGTTTCTACCTGTTTTTATACATGGGAGGGGGAAGTAAACGAGAGCATAAATTATGAGAAGGGAGGGGAGTTACCCCGCTTTTGGTTTGGTTAGACAATAACTAATCAAGGGGAAGGAATGATGACCTTTCCTCCTTTTGTTTGGTTGGACAATAATTATAAATTTATGAAGGAAAAGGAGGTGCAGAAGCCAAATAGGGTAGGCCTGAAAAAATCTTGTACTTATCTTCTCACAAATTGAAGGGTATGTTTTTGGTATTAAAAATATTTGTAATAACAATGACATAATTTCCGCTCTGTTTCCTCCCAATTTTGGAGAGGAAGAAAGGTGTTGATGTAGGACGAGTAGGGATTACTTTCTTACAAGTAGTGAGCCCAGTTTAAGTATATTGGCAGCAGCAACAAAAGACTTACAAGGCTGGATTTGGTGGGATTTTGTGACTGCAGAAATATTTAAAAGAATAAGAGTTTAAGGGTTTGTAAAAGGGTAGGGTTTTGGGAATGAAAATACAAGTGTTTAGGGGCAGTTTGGTGGTTGTTCTAGGCACTGTGAACAGTGACATGAACAGTGACCTTGCTGGATAGAAGAAGAAGAAGAAGAAGAAGAAGAGAGAGAGAAAGAAAGAGAAGTGCTTCATTCTCACAAGGGATAGGCCAATCACACAAACACAATTTCAAATTTTCATAATATTAACTCTGCTATTGAATCATTGAGATTACACATATATTTATAGGCTAAAGACTTTTCTAATTCTATAAGGACTATATCTCAAATTTAGAAACTAAAAATATTTAGCAACTACTAATATTCTAGACCAACTATGACTTCCAATTCTACTTCAATTATAATTCTACTTCAATTATAATAGGAAACTTTAATAATTTCTAATTCTACTTCATATCAAAATAGGAAACTTGGACTTTGACCACTAAGATTATTTTAGACATAATAAAACCCATATATAATAACCCATTTAATAACTTGACCCAAAATAAAACCCATGGGCAATCCTACAACCCATGTCCAGCAAAACTGAAGTTACCATAATACCCTTAAGTGCTAAACACTACCATGGACATTTTTTTTGGGACCAAAAAGGCTTCTTGACGAACATAAGACCCTTAGATTTTGTGTTGGGTTTCCACAACCTATCGTACTTGTTTAACCATGTAATAGATGTTGCACCAGGTGTTCAAATTGTGGATCCTCTCTTTCCTCACAATCCCTCCATCTACTTTCCTTTCCCTTCTCAAAACCAATCCAGAATATTAACTGTTCCCTTTTCTATCTTTCACTTCCCCTCCAAATCTCTCAATCCAGACCATGTAAAGCAAAATTTTCGTGGTTTCTATTTTGACTCTTTAAATTCTAACTTTTATTCAACCATGTTGTGTTTGCTGGCACAAATTTTTTAAAATAGCGTGCTCTTTGATATTGTTTTAATGGTTGGAACTGTTTCTTGAGGTTTTGCTTTGATGGGATATTAAAATCTACTTTCTGGTTGATAATGTTTTCATATGCTTGCAGGAAAACAAATTCAATTGAGCATGCCCATGTCCGTAATGTAGATTATGACACCAAAAAGAAGTTTATCCTTGTAAGTATGTGAACTTTTTATGGTTACAGGGTATTGCAATTTACAATGGAATGGCATTCTTGGGGGTTGTTGATATTTAATAAGAGGACCATTTTCAGTACAGAACCAACCAGCACGAACATTTACACTTTTCATTATTATTATTATTTTCTTGAAAAAAGGGAATTATTTCATTTCTCATATCCATTGTTAGGCTCATAATTACCAGTCAACTCTTTCATTTGGATTCCTTGTAAATGTCTCCTTATTTATCCATTAATTTGGTAGGTCGTTTTTATTTTATATATTGTTACTCTTGTGTATTTATAATACCTTGGATATTCATTGAAATAAAATCCTTCCGTGTTTTCTATAGTGTCTAAGCACATAAATATATCGTTTGGATTGACTGAATTGTAATGCTATAATGATTTGCAGATCAATTTTGAAATTACGTGTCCTTGTAAGCAACATGTAGATATATTTAAACACTTTTGAATAGAGAGAATCAAAAAAGGAAAGGGAAGTGAAGTATATTTACTACAATGTGAAATACAAAATAATTCTTTGCAATGGGCATCCTGGTGCCCTTTACATTCTCACCATGCCACAAAGGAATGAGATTCTATCTTTTTATTTATAATTGACTATCCTCCAAAATCTCTAGATTTTTTTTTTTTGGAAAAATTTTCTTTGATTATCCAATTGTGTTAAATTAACATGCATAACAATATTGTTGTCAATACTACAGGTAACTGCTGAGGATGAATCTGGGATACATATATGGGATCTTAGAATGCTGAAGGTTCCTATCCTTGAGCTCCCTGGACATGCACACTGGTATATTGTACACTGAATGCTGTCTGCCAACTCTCATGTACATGTTTCATGCTTATGTGCTATGATTAATGTACTTATGGGTGTTGTTTATGTGTTATTCACATTCATCGAAGTTTTGTGTCTTTAGTTGGTATATTATTCATATGAACCTATGTTATCTAGAACATGGATCATTTCTACATGAGGAGCAGGAATGGGAATGTGGTACGATAGGGTGATAGGGTTGGCTTGTATAGATTACATTACACTATTGGAACTTAAGGTGGTTCTGAATGCAAAAAGTAATTTTCTTTCAACAATTAGACACCCAATAAAATAGTGTATTCTTATTCAAGTTAATCATGTAGAAACACATTTCTAAGAGCATTATGGGTATGTTTCCACATTCTTTCCAAAACCACACTCTCTCTTGGTTTTTGTTTAATATACTTCTCAAGGACAATTTCTAAGGAAAAAAATATGAAAAAATTAGGGGCCACTTTGGAAAGCTATTTCCACCATTTGGAGCGGAAATTTTTTCAAAATGTAAATTGCTAGGTCACTAGCATATAAACAATATCTCATAGCTTGACAGGAGTCTGACTGACCATTTCCGTGATTGTTGCAGGACGTGGGCTGTTAGATGTAATCCTGAGTATGATGGCCTAGTTCTGGTTCTCTCTCTCTCTCTCTCTCAAATGCATGCACATGCTTATACATTTGCATTCATTTTCTTTTGCCAAAATAGGAACGTACGCAATAGTTATGGACATTATGGTGAAAGAAGCCCATAACATTGGAATCTCTTATAATAATTATTTAATTTGGTCTCTATTTGGCCCATCTAACGAGGTAGATTTAAGCTGAGACCCCTTACAACCATTTTGAAATGATATATTTGAATTCATGGTATCCTGTCTTTGTTGGGCAAGTATTTGACAGGATGTATGTTTTTTACCATTGAAATGGCCATGTTTTTTTTTTTTTTTCTTCTTCCTATCCAATGATATTTCACTATCAGAAGCAACACTTTTGCAGAGTGCTGGAACAGACTCAGCTGTCAATTTGTGGATGGCTTCTCCTCCTAGCAGTGATGATTTATCATCTGAAAGGTTACTTTCCTATTTTCAAAGGCTAGGACTCCATCATGTAGTTTTCCGTTGTTGATTTCTTCTGATGGTCTTGTTTAATTCTATGATTTTGGCAGCTTGATGGACTCACATACGAGATCGGTAGATCCATTGCTCATTTCGTACAGTGACTACGAAGACAGTGTCTATGGTGATTGCTGCAACGTTCATTATTCTTCTTCTCTACATATGTATAAAGCTTAATGTCTGAATTTAGCCTGACTAGTTTTACCAAAATTGCAGGCCTTGCTTGGAGTTCCCGAGAGCCATGGATTTTTGCATCATTATCCTATGATGGGAGGGTAAGTGCAATTTTTTATTGTATAATGGATTAGAAACATGGGACAGGATTTAAAATTCTAGCTTTTGGTTATTGTTCTTTGTCATTCACAGAAGGATAGAAAATTATTGTTCTTACTTTATGTGCCTAAGGCTGTGTAAAGGCCGGTATAAATTGGTAATTGTCTGATTGATGCTACACAACCTGATAATTACTGTGACATGCTTCAATGTGGGTTGCTTTCACAGTAACAGAGTACCTTGGATGTTCAGAGTTTATGCTATCTTTTGCAAGGAAGCAAAAGTAACTGTTAGTTCATCCAGTATATGTGATTTGTCATCTAAGCTCTAGTTTGAGTGGAAATAGTTTCCAGATTATACGCTACACAATACTCTTAGGCCATGTTTGTTTGGGCGGACTGGATTAGCATTCCATGACTAATAGTCCTAGAACTATGAATCTGTTGGATTATGTATTCTATCTTAACTAAAATCAAGTTTAAAATAATTAGTCCCTACTTCAATTGTTTAACCAAACATCGGATTAATAATTTTATTGGACTATTAGTCCAATCCCAAGCTCATGTCCACCCAAACAAACATGGCCTTAATTCTTATCTGAGATGGCATAATTTGTATGGTCTTTACTGTATTATGTTCCTCGTTAAAATGGATAGTCATATAAAGGAGAGTGAGTTTTCTGATTGGTTGACTATTCTGTCTTGGGCATCATATAGACAACAGACAAAAACATTATGGTGATTTATCTTTGTAATTAGTTGCAAAACATGCATATAACTTGGAACTTATCCAACCCAATCAAAACTAGGGAACATGAAGAAGAAATAGGAACTATTGTGAACTAAATGTGAGCCTCTTCATGTTTTTCAGTACTGCTTAGAGTTTAAAGTTTGATTTTATTTACGTGTGTATAAATCATTTTTATTTTTGAAAATGCTTGCTCTGTAAAACAGGTGGTCGTGGAATCAATAAAGCCCCATCTTTCCAAAAAATGAAGTCAGATCATTTACTTGATGTGAGTTCTTAAACCCTTGTTGTCCTCGCAATTTTTTTTATCATGTTTGCATACTCACTTCTTCAGTTTAACTGCAGAGTATTTTTTCCCCCTTCACAAGCTTATTACTCGGAATACCTTCTACCCTCATATGAAATATTCTCATTCTCTATTGAGGGTTTTCATAATGTTTCGGGATGTAGTTGAGGCTCATGTGCCATTTAGGCATGGTACATTGACTTGTGCATGGACGACCTTGAATATTGTATTCAAATATGAGCATGTGGTGCTTGTACCTTTGTATAGAGGGAAATTAAGTATTGGGATTGTTTGGTCTTCAGACCACACATTGCTAAAGGAGACCAATTATATTTGAGTGATTCTTTCATTTTAATGATTTTGAGTTTGGAAAGAAAAAGCGTCATTGATCTGCATTTGACCAAATCACCAAGTTGAACATGAATGTCTTTTCCATATTCATAAATGGACGAATTAATTAATGGTTTTTGTAGTTTAGGACTTGTGTTATTTTAGTTCTTGATTTTTTTTAATTGTAATATATTTGATTTTGAATTTTGAATTTTGAATCTCGTTTCAAATAAGAATAATTTAAGACATTATTGTTTCCTTTCAAGAGCAAAATTGTTAACTTGATAAAATATAAATTAGTTTAAAAAAAAAAATTAAAAATTATTTCTACTCATCAAATATAAAATTATATAAAAATGATAAATCTTTTTTATTTTTACTTTTTTACCAAATTAATTTTTAGTAGTTTGTGTTTGGATGTTGATCATATAATGAGTGGTTGTTTTTGTTGATATTTTTGGATTTTTATTATGTAATAGATGGTTTTATTTGTTGTTAACAGATATTTTTGGATTGTTATCATGTAATAGATGATTATTAGGCTTTTAATGTATAATCGATATGTTTAATATATGAAATATTTTTAGTTTTGGATTTTTTAATTTAATGGATTGGTTTAATAATGAGATCAATATGTTTAATATATATAATGTTTTTAGTTTTGAATTTTTTAATTTAATGGATTAGTTTAATAACGATATTAAAATTGTCATATTTGATTTTTGAAAAAATAAAACTAATTTAATGAAAATAAATGACAAAAAACAAAATGTTTCTATTCTTTTAAAAGATAAAATTATATAAAAATGATGCATTTTTAATTTTTTTTACTAATTTAATTTTTAATTTCTTAGAAATTTTTTCTGAAAATAGATTTTGAAAATCAAAGCAAACAAAACTTTATAACCAACAAAAATTAAACATTATTTATTAAAAAAAAATAAATATATTTTAAATAACATATAAGCTAATTAATATAAAATAAATTGTATGACGACTTTATTTTTCAAATAGAGTAATAATGTTTTCAATCGTTCTTATTTGCAACGAAATTTAAAATTTAGAATAAAATATATTACAATTAAAAGCGATATAAGTTTCAAATTATAGAGACTGTTAGTACTCGTTTGGTTTTCCTCTTGGGACTAAAAAATTACAAAAGGACAAAAAAAAATCAAAAAATACAAAAGGACAAAAATCAAAAGCATACCAAAAAAAAAATGTCATTCCAAAGTCAAAAAGCCAAAAAAGCCAAATAAGAAAACCAAATAAACAAAAAGTCAAGGGCTAAAAAAGTAAAAAAATCAACTAAAAAAGTCATTGCTAAACGACTCCGTAGTATAATTCGTCCTTCATAATTTGTTTAAGCTCTTAGGGCATAGGATAATTGATGGTGCTCGCATTACAGAGCATGGGGCTTCTGTTATTATAGCCAATTATGCTCTTGTTTTTTTTTTTTGATTAGAAAGAAATGTTCATTACTCAAGCCAAACGGCACTTACAAAAGGAAATCATCCAAAAGATTAGCTTACACCAAGCAAAGAAAAATCAGATCAAATAAACACACATGTATTAAACTATGAAAATCTCAAACGCACATCACGTGCTCGTGTTTGTACTGCCAACAGAGGCCAAAAGATCGACTATAGAGCATGTCTAAGATAGGTCATAGATTACACCACAGAGTGGATAAGCCGCAGAATAGCATCGATGGATTCCATACAACACTTACAAACCAAAAAAACAAACAAAAAAAGCTGGAGCGTACAACCTCAAACCCGGAAGAACCGCTGGATCGAGAGAGGCAACCAGATCCAAAACAGATCTGGCTATGGGAAGGTGATACAGAGACGGTGAGCAGCGGAGAAGAAGAGCATGACAGATCCGGCACCAGTGGGAGGAGGAGCAACCCAGCAAACTTCCACCAAGGGGGAAAAAATCCTCACAAAAAGGAAAAGGTTGGGAAGAGAGATCTCCCAAGGGTTATTGAGCAGAGAGCAAGAAGGAAAAGAAAAGGGAGGGAGAGAGGAGAGGGAGGGCCGGAGGTCAAAGCCCCCTCCCCCTTCCCTTCCCCCTTCTAAATGATGCTGCTGGCTTGAAACCCTAAGGGAAGAGACTAGAGAGAGATGCTCTCGTTTTTAGAGAAAATATTTGGAAGTGCGTATAACTATGAACATACTTTCAAAACAAATTTTCACACTCCCCTCCTCCCTTACCAATTCCAGCTACCACCCACTGCTGCCACCCAATTATGATCTTGTTTGGGAAATGGTTATATTTTAGGCTTTTAGTTATTTGACTATTTTAGTAGGCTATTTGAGTTCGTGTATTTGGAAAGATGAGTTGAATTTTTTTTGAATGGTTGTATTGGAAAAAGTGTTTGAAATGATATTTTTATCTGAAATTACCAAATTGCCCCTACATATGTCCATGTACTGTTCTAATAGGAAAATGAATGTTTGTGTGCTGACATGACAGTGGGTGAATTTGGACGCAACTTTTTATTTATTTTGAACAGAATTTGGACGCAGTTTGTAACGACTAAAATGAGGCAATTTGGCACAAAATTCGAAATCTTCAATTTGTGAATTATAAATAACTTTTAAAATAGTAATAAAAAAAAAATTATAACTTATAAACAATGGGCATACTACGTAGCGTACTAACATACTTTTTGACATTATTTTAAACTTTACCCATTATAAAAATTATAATTTTTAAATATTTAACAATCATTCACTTATCGTACTTCTTCGCCGATTGCGTGGTTTGGAAGGGAGAGCCCCGTCGGAGAGAGATCCATGATAAAGAGTCTTCTTTCTTCAGTCGGTAAGTGAGAGATGTGAGAGACGATGGAAGATGGGTTTGAGAGTTATGACAAGTTCAAACATTCAAAGGGTAAAACGATAATTTCATCTTATAGTACAACTCATTGTACACAACCTCAGCAACTAGAGGCTTTTTGGTTATTTTCAAAAAACAGGCACCAATAGCTTATTGTACCGTTTTCCAAACAAAGCGCTATGTTAAAAAAAGAGGCTACAATAGCCTATTGTACTATTTTCCAAACAAAGCCTATAGAACATATGAGTTGATGATGATGGCATCTGTGCGTGATATGTAAATTGTGGCCTATAAACTTATTTGTGATGCATGGAAACCTTTGAATTCCTTTAAGATTTTCAATTTAAATTAGAGTCTAAATTTAGTGGGGGTAGTTAGTATCATCATAGGAATTGCGTTATTACTTAACTTGTGTTATTATTTTGAAGGATTGATAAAATTTTATTAATTTAAACCTCTTTTTAATTTAACCCTTATTGAGATTTTATACACTCCCATATGAGGGGATATTATGTAGTTGAACCCCCAATTTTCTTAACCAAATATAATTATATATTTTATTAAATTATTAATTCAATTTCAAATGTCTGTTCACAGAAACATAGTCATCGAAGTGACATAGAAGCCATTTGGGATGAGAGTAAAAAGTTGCGTTTTGCAGCAACACAAAAACGCAGCTGGGCAGCCAGAAACGCAAGAAAACGCTTTGGGAAGTGCTAAAAATGCCAACTTGTGAAATTACGTAACTACCTTCCATGTTAACAATTTGGTCCTAGGGCAAAACACTTACTCATTTTCACCTCGTCTCCTCTGCTACCAATTCCTCTTTCTCACCGCTGCTCTCCTCTGCAACTCCTTTCCACAACTTACGACGAAATCGTCGGTCGCCGACGCTGCGTCCAGACTCGTCCTCCACGTCCTCGTGGTCGCTGGATCTGCAGCATCAGGTAAGGCGCGAAACCCTCCTCTGTTGTTGTCTGGTTACTCTTATTTCCAGAACCATTTTCATGAAAAATTGGAGTAAAAAATAAGGGATCAACTCTCATATAACAGTTGTATGCTGATGTTGTTGTATAACACTTGGATTAAGAAACAAGATTTTTAGATTTGCATAAATTTTCTAGTTTTCACTAAACCTTTCTTGTTCTTCAAAACCCAAATCTGAAACTTTTGTGGGTATCAATAAGATTCAGCAACAACCTTTTTAGTAGTTTTGCGATTCTGAAAAGGAACTTCTAACAGTTAATTGTTTGGATTTATTTGATTTCTTGGTCTCTGATCAGTGCTATATTATATGCTTTCAATTATGTTCTAATTTTCTAATAGGTTTTGTTTTGTATGATCAACCTTCATTTGAACTTTTAACAATTATTGCACTTGCTGGGAAAAAAAATATAAAAGCTTTGTTTTTAAATTGGTTGCTTTGATTTGAATTACTTGTTAATTTAGGATATTGAGGATCTGTTTGGAAGGATGGATGGATGTTGTACGGGGAGCAAATATTCAGGCAAGCCCGTACTCCCTTCTTTCAAGCTCCGCTTCTATCCGATCACTTGCGTACACAAAGGCGGTGAGCTACCCGACGGTGTGTGGCCGGAAAACCCCTCCGACGGTCAAGTTAGAACACACACCAGGGGATAGATAGAGAGAAGGGAGAGAATTGTGTTTAGTGTTTATCTCACCAAAAATGTCTTGTCTCCAGCATAGGGGCGCAGACTTGCTTATATACCTTCTGCGCCCCAAATCTACTCCCAGTGATCTCTCGATACGTGGTTCTGCTATCCCATCTGCCAGCACAAATCTTGCTGAGTATCACCTAACCCAATTGCCAGCCCACTCTACTGGGAGCTCGGCAGTCGGGCAACATTATTTCGGCTACCAATGGCCATACTCCACTTCAAGCCCAAGCGCACTTGACGGCGTAATGCTCCTCCAACCAGGCTCATTTCTAGCCGTGCTCGACTGCATTCCAACGAAGCCGAGATGGAGGTTGATCAACTTGGTCGTGCTGGGCTGAGGGCACGTGTATTACAACCGAGCAACGCGCGAGCTGTGGAACCCTTACCTAACTGAACCTTAACCTGCCCGGTCTCCGTGCCAACGAAATCATGTAGCTCGGTTCCACAAGGCCTTTGCCATTACCGAGCAAGATCACGACCCAATCTCGGAGCCAAATACCTCGGCCCAACCTCGTTCGGCCCAATCTGTCCGGCTAATTCCACCTTCCCAAATTCAGATCATTAATCTGCCTCTCAATTGCCCCTTAATTCCGTCCGCTGAAGCGTGACTGGG